AATAAAATAAAAATAATGGTGATGATTTTCCTCAGACCATCCTGACATCAGAAAAGTCAGCAGTAGAGGGTACCTGAAAGTGGAAGGAGTCACTCTGGGCTGGGACTCCCGAGTGCCTATACCACACAATGCCTTCATTGATGTCTTGTTGGGTGAAGGTGCTGGTGGGGGTCGCTGTTCTCCCATCAGGCAGGTGCTGCCCTTCCTCTGCGGGGCTGTCTGCAGGCATATATCAACCAGAAGGACCATTCCTCCAGGAAAGCACACAGATCGTTATGAGGACTGCACGATAAAAGTAAAAGTCAGTCAGAGCTCTCATCTCCTTTTCTACTACAATTTTTTTTCAGTAGAAATTATGTACTTCTGTATTTTTTATCTATAGGTGAGGAAAGGTGAGTGTTAACATCAGAATTCAATAGACATAGCACCTTTGAATTGTCTCACTCTTCACACAATAAAGAATTCCACCATTCTCTCAAGCTAAAAAAAAAGCTAGATAGCATCAAGGGATTCGCATCGTTTACTTGACTTATATCAATTACAATACATACTGTAAACTCATGGAATCAGCAAACAACACCAAATACAGGGTGCACATTGGAGATGGACATCATTCTCTACCTACAACTTTCTATGTAGCAGGAAATGCTTTTTAACCAGGAGGTTTTTGATGTAAACACAATGGGAAATTTGAAAAAATTCAGAAAAATTATTATTATTATTAATTATTATTATTTATTTAAGAGAAAGGAGAGCATGGGTGGGGAAAGGGGCAGAGGGAGAGAAAGAGAGAGAGAATCTCCACGCTCATTGAGGAGCTTGATGGATGGCTTGATCCCGTAAATCCTGAGATCCTGATCTGAGCCAAAATCAAGAGTTGGATGCTCAACCAACTGAGCCACCCAAGCACCCCCCCAGAAAAAATTATACTTGAGAATTCTGTACAATGAAAATAAGAATAACTGACACTGGGATGCATATGGCATGCACTGCATGAAGCACATTATGTGATGGTTCAAATCCAGCTCCATGTCCAGCTGCATGAGCTTTATTAGGCCTTTATAAGCCTCTCTGTTCCTAGTGGTAAAATGAAAATAATAGTATATACTTCACAGATACTTAAAAAGAATGTTAATCATCCTTATGTTATTTGATCCTTTGGAAGATGCTATTATTATCTCCATTTAAGGGAAGTTCTTTTGGCTTAGAGAAGTTCAGTAACTTGTTCAAATTCACAAATTGTACATGTTGGAGCTGAGATTTGAATCTGAAGCTCATATTCTTGGTTGTGAAACTCTTACCAGTCATGATCATGTTGTGTTCACAGTCCAATATCTATCCTCCTAAATAACTATCTCATTTCCTCCTCCATAATTCTTTAGACTTCATTAAAATTGAAGCAAGGAAACCTAAATCTAGACACCACCACCACCAGTCTGTTTCTATTGCTTGTTTTTCACCTGGAGCTACTATCTCCTTAAAGGGAGACTGCAAATACAGAGGTGCTATATAAACAATTAAAGTTTCACAAGGATAATATGCCCTCGAGTGAAGACCAAACAGAAGAATAGATGAAATGCTGAAAACAGAAGCCATGTTTTCATGAAAATGCATCTAATAAAAAATCTGAAAGAAGACTCTCTACCCCTCAGTTGGTAAGAGAAGTAGAAGAGGAGCGGGGAGAGGGAGGCAGAAGGAGACGGGAAGGTTCTCTAGCAAGATACCCAGATCTTAGTACACTTAGTATGCTAGACATATGGGACAACTGAAATCACACTTTGGTTACATGAGAGGAATTTTCTTATGTGAAGGAAATAGTCCTTCTAATATTTATATGCACTAAATTGAAGTTTAAAGTGAGCATAATATGCTGGATGGTGATGGAAATTCTAAAGTAAGAGAAAAACATCAATAGTCTTCTTTATAAAATCATGTGTAGAATCAACTCATTCTAGTTTCTTTTTGGTACTGTTTCTCATTTGCACCTAAGTCACAAATTCCATTAGCCATCTCTCCCCGGTTCAACCTCTATTCATAAGATGATATCAATAAACATGCTTTTCCAGAATGTATACTGTTTATGAAAGTAAGACAGTTGCAAAATATTCTGAAAGTAAATTTCTACAATGAAAATGTAGAGAGTAGAGAAACATAAAATATTCAAATGCTAATATCCTAGCAATTTTTCTTTATAATAGAAAAACTAAGCAGAATTTTTCTAACAAGTCCTAATGAAATAAGCCTATTTTTCAGATTTAAAAAAAAACCTGCCATGTTATGCAGATTAACAGGAATCATAGGATATTGGCTAATTCTATTAATTTCAATTCAGTTAATAGTCATCAAGTACCTGTTAGGTGCTAGCTATCACACTAGACCCTTCAGGGATGGGGATTCAAAGATGAGCAAGATGCCATTCCTGCCCCTGAAACCAGCCTCCTTAAGCAACTGGGAGCCACTGTGAGGTTTCTGTAGGTGAATGGCACAAACTGATTTAGAACACAGAACATATACGATCAGAATACAGGGAGCCTGTGAAAGTCCTATTAAAGAGGCTGGATTTTATTTTATAAAAATGGTAAAATAGTAATTAACATTTACACAGACAGCTTGATCAATTATGAGAGGACTGAAAAATCCAGATGACTGATATGGTCCTGAACTAAGGCAACAGAAGTAAGATTGGAAAGAAATAAACAGATACAAGAGTCACTAAGTAAGTGGAAGCAACAGAACTTGACATTGTGTTGTGAAGATGAGAGATGGGGAGAGATGTGACAGGAAGGGCAGCAATGCCACCAATGGATGAGCAGGTGGGAGGGAAGTTTAACACTGGGTCTGTTGAATACAAGGTGTCTTTGTGACAAGCCCAAGAGTAGTGAGGAACAAATATCAGTATTTTGTGAGGTTCACCACAGTGAGGTGAGAGCTGTTGTGTAGCACGTCATCTCCACATTTATTATGACAAAAACAAGGAGATGACCTTAAATATATGAAAATCCAGGTTTATAAAACAGTGTAGGTTTAAAAAACAAGATATTCTGTACTTGGGATTTCCTTAATACTGAAGGCTATAGTTTAATCAAGAATTTTGAAGGGAAATTTTGATAGGTATTAAGAATTAGAATCTCACTGAATTATTGAAAATCCCATGAATTATTTTGGGATTGAGACAATTTGTATTAAAGCTTTCTTACCCGATGATAAATAATTTAGAGTTGGCAATGTGTTGGATTAAGTCGGATTTTCCCTCAAATGATACTCAAGTTACTTCATTAAAACCATCTCATTATGGGGCACCTGGGTGGCTCAGTCAGTTAAGCATCCAACTCTTGATTTCAACTCAGGTCATGATCTCATGTGGTGTGTGATTTTGAGCTCGAAGTTGGGCTCTGCACTGACAGTGTGGAGCCTGCTTGGGATTCTCTGTCTCCACTCTCTGCCCCGCCCCCATTCACATTCATGCTTGCACGCACTCTCTCTCTCAAAATAAATAAATAAACATTAGAAAAGCCATCTCATTAAATTCACTTTCAAGGAGAGAGGGAAGATGGCGGCGTAGGAGGACGCTGGGCTCACCGCGCGTC